ATATATATATATATATATATATATATATATATATATATATATATATATATATATATATATATATATATATATATATATATAGGCATTTATGAAGGAGCATAACATAGTGGAGGAAATTACTTTCCTACATGAAAAAAGACACCTGTCAGGCTCGATTATACATGCAGCAACACGCAAATAGCATTTCTATTCAGTGAATCTGACTTAATCCAGATGATTTAACCCACTGTAATTCCACTCGCTTAACTTTAGGGGCTCCAAAGTTGTGTGTTTTAATAATTAATAGATGTAAATTAGTTTGGGTGTAAACTGTAATCCTCCTCTTCTCACAGGCCAGTATTTAAAGAAATAGTGTTGTTTTAGTATTATTGTGTACTAATATAGTTTTTAATTAATATTTTGAATTAGCTTTTTTATTTACATATTTTTATTTGAATTTTTATTTTTTGTCATTTGTAATGTGCTTTTGTCATTTTTATTATTCTTTTGTATAATATTTCCATTTATTATATATATTTTTATATTAAATGTTACTATTTGGGTTTCATTTTATTTCAGTTTTAGTTTTATTTTCCAAGGCAAAGTTTAGTTGAACTTTTTTTAGCTTTATTACAGTTAACAAAAACATTTAATAGTTAACCTTAAAGACCCAGTGTAACCCAGAAATCATGTTATTTTCAGTATTTAGCTGCAGTTTGTGGTGTCAATATAAAAGCACAAAGCAAGTCTTTTGGTAGTAGTATGTTCTGCTTATCCGTGCTGTGTGAAACAAGTCTTATAATTTAAATGATGATAGTAATGTTAAATGTTATGTTGAAATTAATGTTTAATGTTTCATGGCTTTGTGTGACTGTAGTTGATGATAGCGCTCAGCTCTCTTTCTTAGTGCTCTCATCTTTTAGATTTTTCTTGTACTGGTTGCCATAGAGAAATGCACTGTATAACGGTTGTTAGTGTTCAGTTAAGCTCCCTTTTTTTTTTTTTTTTTTTTTTTTTTTTACTGTTACTCAAAATCAAGCTCACTATGTTTCTCTTACTCTTCACTCCCCTTTAAAGCTTTTGATGGATTGGGTGATGTGCTCATGCCAGCTATGGCTCCACAGGCAGCAGGGGCCACCTCACCGGTCAAACCCATGGGAGGAGATCTGGACTCAGCTATGGCCAACATGGCCAGCAGTACGTTCCCATCCACTTTTCACTTGGTGTACTCAAATCATACAGTCTTAACATTAAAGTTTCCTTATTGGCATCAATGATTCCATGAATAACCTTTAAAAGGTTCTTTATGAGGTAAAAGACTCTTTAGATTATTTAAAATGTTCTTCACACTAAGAAAAATAATGGTTCTTTTAAAAACTGTTAACGGAAAGGTTCTTTGAGATACCCAAAATGGTACTAAAGTGGTTCCAAAACACCTTTTAGAACCTTTATTTTAAAGAGTATAGCCAAATAGAATGAAGTTACAGCACTTTGAAATTTTAGGGTTCTTTACTGGAATCTGTGGTTCCATGAAGAACCTTTAACATCCATAGAATCTTTCAATTCCACAAAATGTTCTTTATAGTGGAAAAGGTTCTTTAGATTATTAAAGTGTTTTTCACACTAAGAAAAAATGGTTCTTTTTAGAACTGTTGACTAAAAGGTTCTTTGGGGAATAAAAAAATTGTTCTTCATGACATCATAGCAAAATGTAAAATGATATATTTCTGTGTCTGTGCTTGCAGATTTGGCAGTGGGGAACCAGAAACCGTAAGCTACAGTAACTTCCTTCTCTCTATTTCACCATATTTTCTTGCCCTCTTCAAATAAATATTTTTGTACCTGTTCCTTTTCTATTTCTGTCTCTCTCGTCCTCTCAGGGGTGAAGCAGCTGGAGGGGCGAACTGGCAAGCGCAGGTACCCACCCCTAGCTGGGGCGTTGCCATGGTAAATGTTGTGTTCTGTAGATGTGGAGCATGGGGGTGGAGTCGCATGGCTTTGAGCAGCATGGCGTGGAGCCAATCACAAGCTTCCTCTTCTCCCCGCCTCTCTCTGGGCTCCTATCAGTTGAATGAACAGGACTAAAGAGGCGGAACTTTCTAATATATGAAACTTAGGGTTGAAATATTGAAAAATCAACTGTCCCTGAATGTTAGATAATTACATATTTTAAAAGGATGCTTCAAACTTTGAATTTATAATCCTAATCTTACTTTCACTTGCATTTGTGTGCATTGTGAACAAAGCCAAAGAGTAGCCTCAAGTCAAGTCAAATTTACTTGAATATCACTTATCAAAATTACAGAGCCCCACACATTACTTGTGGGGGAAAAAAACACTGTCCACAAATTAAGAATTAGTTCCCACAACTTATTAAATTGTGGCTACGTTGAATGAATGAATTGTTCACTCATTTTAATTACTTCAAATGAGAGAATGAATTAGTGCAATGTGGCCACGATTTACTAAAAGGAGAGAACAAATTCATAAACTGATGAAACTAATTCTTAATTTGTGGCCACAATAAATGGTATTTTTGTCTGCACATTTGCTATATATTTTGTTTGCTATATACTATACATGCACATAAAATTGGACGTATCCAAGTTTATATAAAAAGATAATATGATATATTTATTTAATATAAATATATATGTATATAAAGAGAGAGAGCTGTTACATTACAGTTTAAGATTCAGATTTATTCTTGCTTTAGAGCTTCAGACCTGTTTGGCTTGACAGCCGCTTCCTTCTCTATTTCTTTTCTTTTTATACTACTAAACATACATGCATGCACATGCCTCATAAAACATTCAAATTCACACTTTCATCAGACTGGTAATCACCATCCCAGGTGTGTGTGCAGGATCCCTCCAGTGTGTCTGTGTGTCGTAGAGTCCTTTTGTTCAGGTGTTGTCCTGTTCTGTGTGGTTTGGTGCTAACCTTCCCCCCCATCCCTCCCACCTGCTTAGACTTCCCCTCTCGGGGGCTGTCCTGTCATGGGATCCCCGTCACCGTTTGGCATGGTAAGAGTGTGTGTTTATGTGTACGTGCGTGTGTGCAGGCGTATGTGTCTCTTACTGTGTCTCTGTGTGACTCACAGCCTGGTGCAGGAGCTGCTCCCATGATGCCTGGCTCACCGATGATGGCTGCGCAGCAACCGATGATGAGGCCACAGTTTCCCGCAGCAGGAGCCCCTGGACAACCGGTATTTTAGACATACATGCAGTTGAATTTACTGATATAGTCATTTAGACAAGAATGCTTAGTGTGTAAATACACACATACTTAATTATTGCTCCTCAGATGTCTCCAGGAATGGCCCAGAGTCCCAGGAAGCCTCCCCCTCCTAAAGACCCTCTCGCTGACCTCAATATCAAAGACTTCATGTAGATGAGCAGCTGGTGTAAGTGTCACTACAGCTAGAGCAGATGTGCAGTTTGACGACAGGACACACAATGAGACACAAGCTGAAATTTTTTTTTTCATCTGATGCATCTATTTTTTAATATTAAAAATATAGTTGAAAATAGCCTGCTTGTAGAAACAAAGCATTTACAAGAGGCTGTAACCACCAAGGGAAGACAGTCCAATTAGTATTTAATCAATATTCAATATCTGTACAGTCAGTTAAGATTTGGGACTTCTCATACACACCACACACACACACACACACACATATATATATATATATATATATATATATTCTGTTTTTCAGGAAAAAAATCCTATTTCACTCTTTCTACTTATTTAAATTTATATGTGTTACTTACTTACTTACCTGACACACTAGGTGCATTAATAGACGCTGATTCAGAGGCATGAGGTTCCTCTGAGAGTGTGACTGTGGAGGGTGGGAGATGATCTAAAACCTGAGAGATGATTTCAGGTATGGGAACAGAAGCCAGTGTAAAATCTAAAGGCTCAGACAGAAGGGGAGTGTGAGTGAAAACTGGCTCAGAAGCCACCTCTGCATCAACTTCCTCCACAACTGGCTCCTCCACACACATCAGGAGCTCCACAGTCTGTGGAGGCTTGAGATCTGATTCTGCAGGAAGTGCTCCAATCTCTTCCAGCTGGCTGCCAATCATGATCAGCACGCTGCTCTGAAGCTCCTCCTCGTCTGACTCCGCCCTCTGATGGAGCTCCGCCTCTAGGTGGATGATGTCAGAGGTGGAGGAGTGGTTCTCGCTGTGGTCCTCTTGAACTAGGACCATCTCACTGGTCTCTAGACTTCCAACCTCTAGATCCATGTCGCTAACAGATGCCCAGGACTCGGCTAGACTAGCAGTCTGCCAGGGGCCGGACCCACTGCTGCTCTCCTCCAGGCTTGAGGTTTGATCCTGGGGAGGGTCGGGTCCCGCAATCTGCCTGTCCTCAGACAGGATGGAAGACCTTTTACTCCTCTATAAAAATCTGACTAATCTTTACAGGTTCAGTGAGTCCTAAAATTGAGAGACAGAATTCATTCAGTCATGTAAGTGCATTGTGCCACTGATTAATTACATTAATATAAGCATTGTGGGGATGTAAGAATGTATTTTACAGCATACATTTTGCTAACATAAGCTGACATTTACTATAAGAACAAATTCAAAAATATAAAAAACCACTGACAACCCATTTTACTTCAGTGATTTGAAACATTTTTAAATGACAAAATCAACTTACATAAAAATGATATTAATAATGAAACAACAGCAACAATCCAAAAATTAATAATAGTTCTAATCATCATCATCACAGAAAAAGAGTTTTACGTGAGGTTAAACACTGTACCCATCAAAGACATAAGATGAGAATTATAGTATAATCATATTTTACATTTTAAAAATGACAGTACATACATTCACACACACATACTAAAACAATTTTTTTTCATTTTCATTTTTTTCCTCAGTACTTATAAAACATTTATGTAAAATGTTAAACTTCTAATATCTTATATCTCTTTGTAAATAAATAACTGTAGCAAAGAAACCAAACCAAATTGAATTAAGTTTTAAATCTATATGTATATGTATATGTATATGTATATGTATATATATCTGTATATATGTATACATGTATAGGCCAGTAAGCTCATATCTGACTGGCTATGCAACCTATATATATATATCTCCATCTGTTCACACGAACAGAGAATGTCAGTCATTTCACATGGCATGACAGGATCGTGGTTCAGTTTACGTAGCACTTACACAAAATGGACATACTGTATCTATACTTACTCTTTTATGATTTCATTTAATTTGTCAGAGAAAAAAAATTCCTAAACTCAAACATTTCCTGCTGACTTGGATTCTAAAGATTCATCACGGTCTATAAATACACAAATAAACAAACGAACTAACTACAGTAGTTCTATGATCATACAAATTTTAGTGTCCAGACACGTTAATGAAATACATAACATGAGGGTAACAATTATTGTTTGCACCAGCACTGCTTCAGTCACGTCACAGTAAAAACGTGCAGCGTCAACAGTCAGATTGTGAAGAGATAGTAAACTAAAGCCCATCGGCAAGATCAAAGGTCAAATTTTTTTCCTCAGTACTTATAAAACATTTATGTAAAATGTTAAACTTCTAATATCTTATATCTCTTTGTAAATAAATAACTGTAGCGAAGAAACCAAACCAAATTGAATTAAGTCTTAAATCTATATGTATATGTATATGTATATATATCTGTATATATGTATACATGTATAGGCCAGTAAGCTCATATCTGACTGGCTATGCAACCTATATATATATCTCCATCTGTTCACACGAACAGAGAATGTCAGTCATTTCACATGGCATGACAGGATCGTGGTTCAGTTCACGTAGCACTTACACAAAATGGACATACTGTATCTATACTTACTCTTTTATGATTTCATTTAATTTGTCAGAGAAAAAAAATTCCTAAACTCAAACATTTCCTGCTGACTTGGATTCTAAAGATTCATCACGGTCTATAAATACACAGATAAACAAACGAACTAACTACAGTAGTTCTATGATCATACAAATTTTAGTGTCCAGACACGTTAACGAAATACATAACATGAGGGTAACAATTATTGTTTGCACCAGCACTGCTTCAGTCACGTCACAGTAAAAACGTGCAGCGTCAACAGTCAGATTGTGAAGAGATAGTAAACTAAAGCCCATCGGCAAGATCAAAGGTCAAAGTGCTTAAAGGGATCAAATGTGCAAGAAATACATGCTGTGGCTTTTTAACTTTGACCTCTGGCAGACTGTAAACCAATGGAAAGAATGAGAAACAGGCAAGAACAACAACACAGGTCAGTTATTCTGTAGAGAGAAGCATATTTTAACCAGCAGGAGAGGAGTATTTAGTTTGTAAAATAATTATAATAACTGAATAGGCCATTCACTAACCAGACAGTTAATATAATGAGACGATCTAATCTAAATATCTTTTCAGCTTGTTAAGAGAGACAGACTCCTCTATATGATATCACTATTGTTATAAAAAACATGCTTATGACACTATGAAAGGGAGTATCATTTGAAATGAAAACAAAATGTGCAAGCTTACATTCTCATATTATCCATACAAGAAATTGAAATGACACATAATAATAAATAAATAAATAAATAAATAACCATCTGTTAAAGATGAAAAGAAGAATACACACAGTCTTAAACTCCACATGCCAGACTCAATGAGTGATATTCTGCAAAAGCAGCCATTGAAAACAGATCTTACCGTCTCTGAGTGCAAGGTTTAACTTAGACTGGAGGCTTGAATAAATACAGAGGAGGGTCACTGGAGCAACAGTATGCAGTCCAGCCCCTCCCTGTCCTCTAAAAACCCACCCCTATCCCATTACTTCTGCCAAACTCATGGTGACATGACAAAGCAGTAAAAACTCCCATCGGTCCATTTACCTTTGTTCTGTTCTATATTGAGGGTCATGACACATCGATCTGTCCTACTTTCTGTGACACTGTCCTGTTTGCTTGACAAAGTTAGTGTCCACCTTGTGATTAAGGTCACTGTTATTGTCTTTTTTATTTTTCCATCATTTAAAAGTTCACGATGATCCTATGTGTACAAATCCCTGATCTATAATAGAGAGTCATTATATAGATCAGTGGTACAAATACTGTTTGTGTTCATTTTCCATTTCATCCTAATGAAGTCAGACGCCATATTGTATTAAACGCTGATGAAAACGAGGCTGTGAGGTACGGACTCACAGTCTTTACAATGGCATTTGCTGTTTTGGTCTACTTAAAAGTTTTTTTGGATCATTTACAAACAACAGTACAATCCATGAAACGCACTGTACTTCAGTGCCTCACACAGCCTCGTTTGCAAAAATGCAATATGGCGCTACCCTGCCATAGATATATGGACTAAGGTCTATGTTTGCTATTCTATCATTTTAAACCACACAGGCCGTTTTAAAAATACCTTTATATTTCATCATTATTATTATTATTATTATTAGTAGTAGTAGTAGTATCAATAGTATTATCGTCTGTAACCGGTTCAAAATAAGCGCATATCACATAAACCTCAACAAAAAGCCTAGACGCGCACTGAGATCTGATTGGCTCCCAGAGAGGAAATCACGTGACGCGTGTGTCATCATTGCCTGAGAATCAGCTGATCCTCCAGTCTACTTTCACGACTCGTCGACCCTTCATGTCATTTTTTGTGCGGTTTTAAACCTGTAGGCTTTTCGCAAATATTTCAAAAATCCATTTGTCACTCGCGACACGAGCTTTTTTCAGTCGGTGGAGTTTAAAATCCTTTTACAGCAGCAGCAGCAGTCATGGCGCTCAGCGATGCCGACGTCCAGAAACAGGTGAGAAGGCGTTCAAATGCATAATTTACTATTTACAGCAGCACAACACTATAGCAAGATGAACCACTTGGTGATTAGATGAATTCAGTGTTTTCGACGAGCCTGGCACGAGCATCGTGATATAATCCGACGATGTGGCCTTCAAGGTTGTTCGTCATTTATTCATTAGATACGCGCTTGAAGCACGAGATATGTCTGTATAATAATAGTGCATTTATAGTAACGCATTTTAATACGTACTCATGTGCATAAAGGATGAATAAGGAACAATTCAATTGAGCAGCTCATTCCAAAAACAAATGCATCAAGGTAGTGTGATGAATAATATCAAATATTCACCACAAAATGACCCATTTTAGAATGCAGATGATGCAAAATATTATGGAGTAGGATGTTGTGCATAGTAATAACATAGTAAGCACACACCAACACTAGACAGACACATTCCACATCCTTGTGAAAGAGCAACTCATTGCTACTGGAACTTTCAACAGATTTAAGATGATTTTTCTCAGAGGAAACAATAAACAGCGTTCTAACAATGTATTTTATATAATTTGAAAAGAAAGAAAGAAATAGATTATACATGTGCATGTATTTACAAGTTGGATTAAAAAGATGTTGAACGGTTCCTCTTTTGATTGCCATATCTTTCCAGATCAAGCACATGATGGCTTTCATTGAGCAGGAGGCCAATGAAAAAGCAGAGGAGATTGATGCAAAGGTCATTTTTATTTACATATATTCCACTAAAACATCTAAAGACTAATTCTGATAATAGAAATGGTGTGAAATTTGGAGACCGGCCATTGATAAGAGCTGATATGATGATAAGTGACTCCCCCTGCAGGCAGAGGAGGAGTTCAACATTGAGAAAGGCCGGCTGGTTCAGACTCAGCGTCTGAAGATTATGGAGTATTATGAGAAGAAGGAGAAACAGATCGAACAGCAGAAGAAAATGTGAGTGTGACCAACCAGACGCCCAAATCATTACTGTGGAAACTCCCAGTTTCCTCTTAATCTGTTACTCAAACAAGCATTTCATGCAGTAAAACAGTTTCACATTATTTAATTATTTCTGAATGTTCTGATTGTGATTCACTTTGTTATAACCGTCTACAGTCAAATGTCCAACCTAATGAACCAGGCCAGACTGAAGGTCCTGAAGGCCCGTGATGACATGATTTCGGTTAGATCCTGTTCTCTTTTGTGACACATCTAGCCTTAAAGTAGATATTGGGTTTCTGTTGTCTGTTTACACTGCAGTTTTAATTCTTTGTTTTTTAGGATTTGTTAAATGATGCACGTCAGCGACTAGCGAATGTAGCTAGAGATCCATCCAGATACGCGGCTCTGATGGACGGACTTGTCCTGCAGGTGAGCGATATATAGTTAAACAGTATAGCAAACCAGGTCTATCAAAGACTGCATGTGAGTCTTATCAGGACACACTCTGATATTCTCATGTTTCAGGGTTTTTACCAGTTCCTGGAACCCAAAGTGACCATCCGTTGCCGCAAACAGGATGTGGGCATAGTGCAGGTCTGTAGTTCCCTAAACCTAAAACTATAAAAAAACAACAAAAAAAAACTATTTTGTTACTTCAAATAATAAATGTTAACTGAAATAAAATATATAAAAAAGTCAGCTAGTTGCCAAGCCATTTCTCATTTTCATTTAGTTTAGCTTGGTGTATTAAAATAATTAAAGCTGATATAAACATAAACTTAAACAAAGAAAAACACAAAATTACTAAAACTTTGAAATTAAAATTTAAAACAGAAAATTCAAAATATTAATAAAAACCATAATAGTAAATTAATTATACTAAAATAGCACTGCCTTCAGCAATATAAAATTCTGTAGTGTACTGTATTATGGAAAATTATATAATGCATATATATAATCTAACTTCTTATATAGTTATATACACTTCTATAGTTTTATATATAGTTAAATAGTTATATAAACATAATATATAGTTTATAATATATATATATATATATATATACACACAGTTTAACTTCATGTATTAAAATAACTATAACTGAAATATAATTTTAAAAATTGATATTTAAAAAAAGCACTCTTAAAATGACAAAAACAACGCATTTACAAAAACTTTAGATAAAATTAAAATGAAAACAGAATATTCAGAAATGTATTAAAAACTATAGTAATATCTCAATGATACTAAAATAACACTGGCTGCTGCAAAATGTTGTGTATTACTCTGACAATGATTAATAACCGATTACTTCATGATATAAATCAAGCACAAACATGTGTTTTATTAGGCTGCTGTGCAGAAAAACATTCCCATCTACAAGGCAGCAGTGAAGGACAATCTTGAAGTGCGCATTGACCAGGAGAACTTCCTCTCTCCAGAAGTGTGAGCATCTGCCGTTTCTAGTTTACAAAATTAGTCTGAATATCTTCTTTTTTTTTAAATGAAATTGTGGTTTTTAAATATATAAAATGAAAGTCTTTGTGTTTTTTTTGTGTAGCTCTGGTGGTATTGAGCTGTATAATGCTGATGGGAAGATCAAAGTGTCCAACACTCTGGAGAGCAGGCTGGACCTCATAGCACAACAGGTACAGAAATTGGGCTGAGAGGGTTATGATTGAGAAACAGTGTGAAATGTACAGCAGATTTTTCATTTGCTTTTGATTTCTTTTTTAGATGATGCCTGAAATCCGAGTCGCCCTATTTGGCGCAAACCAGAACCGCAAGTTCATGGACTAATCCTCACTCACACAAAACCACGGCAGACCGCCATTGTTTGATGTTGTACTTTTATTTTTATTCTGATGTTAAAGACTCCATTCCTGTGTCTGTCTGTATTTAAGAAAATATGTGTATATGTGTGTTCTGTATGTGGTGATTCATTATTGCTGTAAAAAGGATCAAAATAGTGTTTCGATTGGCTGCTAGAACTCTGGTCCATAACATCTCATGTGTTTGATTCTGAGTGCAGCTGTAATATAACGCAGTTATGTTTACAGAAACGCCTGAGTGAGCTCAGTCTTAAACTAATGTAGAAATTCCAAGATTGTTTGCGAACTCACCCATTTTGTGTCTGTGGAGGAGAAGACGGACCCATCTTGAGCATCCATCAGAAAAGCAAACTGGTGGCACAGACTTGAAAATTACAATGTGTTTAATTGTTTCGGTTGAATTTTTATTTGCTGTCCTTTCTGTGGTGCAGAGCATGACCTGTATTTCACAAGCAATCGTGTCTGTTAATGCTGCGAAGATTATATTGTTGTGGAAATGATATATAATGAAAAAACAAAACAATACTAAACATAATTCTTCCATTGTGTTCTTACTGAGTCTCGTGTTGTCAGTCATTAGAGGAATGTCATAATGAGAAGCGTTTGCAGAAGGCTCCTAGTCACTTGAGATTTCTCAGTATGTCACATGCTCTATTGTCATCACATTTTCAACATGTGCTGGTCTTGCAGAATGAGAAACTTCATTCACTATAAATGCAGACAGACAGCAGCTGAAATACAAGCTCTCTGGATTTAAGACGAATAGAAGAAAACAAAAAGGGAGTAATAAGCAAAATAAACGTGAAGGTAAGGTAACTTTCAGCCTGAGGATGGAATTGTTTATTATTTGCAATCAATAAAAATGGTTTAAGGTTTGCTCTTTTCTTAATGTTGAGGTTTTCCAGATTAGATTGCTAGGAAAGTCAATTATTTGATTATTGCAAAAGCTGGGGTTCAAACTACCACCATATTAAAATATTAAGGAAATTAAGAAATAATATTAAGGAAATAGATCTAACATAACTTGTGCTGAATATTATAATAATTAATATGATCATCATGTAAAAATGCTTATAATAAATATTAATAAAACTAATGTTCCAATGAGAGTTTAAATAGACACGAGATAAGACTATGCCAAATGAACTTACAATAGATCCTTTCAAATGCTTTTCACAGAATGACTGCAAAAATATTAGTGAGTGAGAAAACACCTCAACTATTATTAGTAGTAGTAGCAGAAGTAAAACTGATTTAGGTTTAAAGACTGAGGTCTGCAATAGTTTACCAAAACATTTAAATTTTCTGAAAATGTACTCACCCTCAGGCCATCCAAGAGGTAGATGAGTTTGTTTCTTCATCAGATTTGGAGAAATGTAGCATTACATCACTTGCTCACCAATGGATCCTCTGCAGTGAATGGGAGTCCAAACTGCTGATAAAAACATCACAATAATCCACAAGTAATCCACACCACTCCATTCCATCAATTAATGTCTTATAAAGCAAAAAAAAAAAACGTACGTTTGTAAGAAACAAATTCATCATTAAGGCATTTTAAACCATTGCTTCTGGCTAAAATACTAGTCCATATTCCATAATAAGGTTTAGACTTCAAGCTATACGTTTAGAGTTTAACTTTGAATTACTGTCTGTAATCATGTCCACTGCAACCTGAAATGTCCAGGCTCAGTGTAGGTGCAAATTACACTTAAACAACTGTGCAAAAGTATAGCCAAATCCCATTAAAAAAACTAACAAGAATGGTAACATCACTCTCTCACCATCTCAGGATCTCTGTACGAGCATGAGGAGTATGTCCAGCATGGTAGCTCTGACTGTCCTGATGTCACTGTGTATCAGAGAGTGTAATCCAATGCCAGATCCCCATCAGAGGGAGCTGATGCTGAAGCAGGACATGTCCCAGCAGGTAGGGGGCAGAGTGGAGCTCACTGCTGCTGAACGGCAACTGGATTCACTCCTGCACCAGCTGAAGCTGAAAGAAATGGCTGCTTCACCTTTCCCACCATCCAAGCACTTCTTCAAAGTCCGGCACATCGTGCAAAAAAGCCCCGTCTTCAAACTGCTACAGAAAATGCCAAAGGGTAAAAAATGGTTACTTGTATAATTGGGAAACACCTGTCCTTCAGATGATAACATGACTGTGTCTCTTACAGGTGCTGCTCTTCACATCCACAGCTCTGCTATGGTGAGTGTGGATTGGCTGGTGATGAATGCAACGTACAGGCCTCATTGTTACATATGCTTCACGTGGGACGGGTCAGTGCAGTTCCTTTTCTCCACCAATATGCCCTTTCTGCGATGGGGATGCTCTTTTTGGAAACGCCTAGATGTGCTGAGGGCAAGTCTGAGTGACATCACTGCCTTTGATAGCAGGTGATTAAACGTATTTCAACATCAGGTATAAAATAGCTGATATTATATAGTTGTTCACTGGTACGAACAATGACAGTGGCCATTATAGTGCATTGAAAAGCATTAATTGCTTGCAATTACCACTTGGTTGATGAATGAAGTGTGGCTTTAGTGGCCTTTTGATGTTAAGCCTCACAAAAATACCCTAAATATATTTACTGAATGAAACCCAACACTTGTTTTTAATTATTTTAAGGTGCCGATTCCAAAAATAGTGCCTGTTTTGCTCTGGCCATCATGCATTTCGTAGCATTTTTGCTTTTGACAATCATTTGTAGTGAAGAAGTCTTGTATTATCAGTTAATCATCAGAAAAACTGCCACAAAGATATGATTCATATCTTCCTCTAGGCCAGGTTACAAGTACTTGTTCAATTCTCAGCTGATATGGAAGATTCTGAAGACATTGTTTTATGCCTAATTCTGATATCAAAGTTAGAATTATGGCCAGTGACAAGAAAAGGCAAACATGACCCAGATGTTTTCTGCTACATCATTTTACAACATCCAAACGGGGACGTAAAATTACAGATTTTGTGGGGGGGAAAAAATTATTTTTAAAGTTCTTTGCATTAAATTGAGCATGTGTCGATGTGAACACATTTTCCACTATTTTGCTGATTGAAGTTACATTTTAAACATATCATGTTTGTCTTTGTTTTTTTACATTTGATAACTGCACCAGATTTTTGAACCAGCAGAACGAAATGAAAAAATAACCACTTGTCCCTTAATAATAGACATAATGAGTGCTATTGTTGTTTTCACTGATGTGCAACCTGTCCATATATGTTAACATCTCAAAAAATGCATTTTAGGGTTTCATGACCCTTTAATGCTGATACATCCATATATAATAATAAAAAAAGTAATTCTTATTGTGTTAAAAAAAACAAAGTTGTATTGATGTTTTTGAACTCAGCTAATTAAAATCAAATTAGGTAATATAATGTTTGTTGTTGGTTCCAAAACTAACAAACAGAACTAATTAAACAAATTACATTTCTCAGTTTAATGCGGAATCTTACACTCTTCACGGAAGACCCGGAGATGTCTTATCCGACACAAGATGCAATATGGGACAGGTTTGAGAAGACTTTTATGGCTCTATCTGGGCTGATCACATATGCACCTGTCTTTAAGAACTATATCTACCAGGGTCTGAAGGAGCTTTACGAAGACAACATCATGTACCTGGAGCTGAGGGTCGGACAGTCCAAGGTTTGTGACTGATAGACCACATCACCATAATTAAGTGTATACGTGCTCTTAGATTAAAAATGTGTATTATATTATTATTTTTAGGCATATGAACTTGATGGCACCACCCATGACAGAGCGTGGTCTCTGGAGGTCTACAGAAACATTACTGAGCAGTTCAGAGCAAATCATCCAGATTTCATAGGATCTCGTTTAATCTTCTCTGTCCACAGGTAAAACTACATTAAATGATCTAAATAAATCAATAAATTGTCTCTCTTGTCCTGTGAATAAGCTGAATACACATTTAATTTACCACTAATAATAATAATAAAACAATCTTGGGTAAATAACTTTAATTTCTGTTACTAAGGGTCATAACAGTCAGCTTTATGATTAAAATTTTCTTTTTTTTACAGCCATTGAAGAATTACAGCCTTTAAACCAAATGACATTTCATACAGTGTTTTTTCCCTTTTAAAGAGCATAAGCCATGTTGGCTTATTTAATAAAGTCACTTTAATAGTTACTGTTTCTAAAAAAGGAATGACATTTCCACTATCAAAATAAGATTTTTCTTTTTTTTCAATCATGACGCCACTAGACTAACAGGGGTGAAACTTTGGATAATAATGCTTCCTTGAAACATAAACTGGAGATGACAAAAGCAAAGACATGCCATTAATTACTCCAGAATAAAAACACATTTGTCATTTGAATTAAAAAAGATGAATTATATTGTCTGATCTGAATGCATTTTTACACAGGTCTCTTAGTGTGTCTCAAGTGAAGCAGGCAGTACAAGAGGCCATTGAAATGCAGAGAAAATATCCAGACATCGTTGCTGGTTTCGACCTGGTAATCTCATCCTTGACTTAAGTTACAGTTCACAGTGTTGCCAGAATGCAATACTAAATACTAAACATGTTACTGTCTGCATTGTGCAAGCAATCCACAGCAATAACAAAGCCAAAATAACTGAACGATGAGTCAGATAAGTCGATTCTAAAAGGTGACTTGGCACCATAATGCAAAAAAAAAATGAAAGATGTGAAATTATATTACCACATTCAATATCTAATTTGAACAATTTATTGCTGTAGGTAGGTCGTGAAGACACTGGAAGATCAATCTGGTACTTTCGAGATGCCTTATCACTCCCTTCAGAAATAAAGACGCAACTTCCTTTCTTTTTCCATGCTGGAGAGACAGGTCAGTATATGTAGCTCACTTCATTAGTTTTTGGAGAAATTAAACTTTTGAATGCATTGAACCAACTGCTTCACAAAATCTTGAAGCACTCAAAACAACACTTGTTGGCCAAAATTATGTAAATGCAACTCAGTACAAACATGCATAATAAAACACCTTTTACAAATCAATTGCAAATGTTTTTATCAAAAGTGTAACCTATTAAATGCAATTAAGAAAACTCCAAATATAGTGTGACCATGTATTTTTAACCTGGACATGTTCTGGCCGGGATTTCTAAATCGCATAAAATGTCAGGATTCTTTTTCATACTTGCTGAAGGTAATGACTGAAAATTAGTTTAACCAATATCATGCAGGCATTGTAAATAATCGTGCAAGAACTGTAGAGAGCACGGCAACAAAGAAACAAAGACAAACCCAGTCATTTTAGGCCATTTAGACAAAGAGGCCATATGGTCACCCTAATCAAAACCATTAAATATAAACTCTGTGTATCATGTGTTCTTTTATTAGCTATTAACTAATACTTTCCTTTTTATTATACAAATGTGTCACTGAAAATGTCTACAAATTTATCATTTTATCATCTTTTATCAAAAACACTAGTTCACGAATCCTCTGGTTCGTAACAAATGAAAAGGTTTCAAAGCAGTGTTTTGAAAGCCCCCCCATCACTACACTCAATTGTTTTACAGTTACAATAACCGATGAATTGGATAGATTGGAATTGGCTTACTGTGGGTGTTTATTTTTAGATTTGGATGGTACAGATGTGGACAGGAATGTGTTAGATGCTTTGCTGTTTAACACCAGCCGCATTGGACATGGTTTTGCGCTGGTTCATCATCCCCTGGCCAAGCAGCTTTCCAGGACGAGAGGAGTGGCAGTGGAGTTGTGTCCCATTTCCAATCAGGTAAGCTGTGGTGCAAAACTAGGGTGACCATAGGTCCTCTTTTTCCCTGATATTTCCTAGTTGGG